AGATGTGTTCAGAGATTTGTTTAGGGTTTTACAGCTAGGTAGTGGCAAGTTACCAATAGATTCTGGGCCTGCTCACTTTTACTTCATTCCTCATTTAACCTGGTGTCATTAAACCACACATTTTCCTCCCTCAGAGTCCTTAGGAAATATATTGTTTCTCATAATACAACAGATTCTGGTATTTCCTGGCCAGCTCAGCAACATTTTCCTTGATGAAAATTTGGCTTCCATTGCCTAAAAATTGAGACACCAAATCTGATACCTGAAGGCTGTTGTGTAAATCAATGTCAAAATTTTTAAAATATCAAGTCCCAAGAAAAGAATGCCACCCAATGTTTTAACCATCAAAGAAAATTAGAATGATATAGAGTTTTTGTTTCACGTAGTACATCTTGAGAATTATGCTAATGTCTTCAAAGGAGAGGATTGATCATCCTGTTGTTATACTGGAGGAAAATAAATTGTCAATGTTGTCCTCCAGCCAGAGACCACAGGACACACACACCCATCATTGAACAAAGTTGGGTTTATTGACTTGTGGCCAACAAGAGAAAACACATACCATGGAGAGCTGTCGGTCATTCAGTAAGCGGGTGTTAGAAAGGACTTAAAGCACCTTGGCTTGTGTTAGGTGTTTTTTGAGGAGGGTTCAAGGAAGAGTGCTTTGCTCTGAATTGGACCATGCCAAGAAGCATAGGCAACTCTATGACTGTGTATTTCAATAAGTCTTATCTAGGAAGTGGAGAGAATAGAGCAAGACAAAGCCATGATTAGTAAAAGAGCAGCAAACACTCATATTGGCGACAATAAGGGCATTTCTGAGTTTTGGACAATACTGTTTTGGTCTGAATACAGACATGATTACAAAGGAACTTTGTTTTTGTCTTGATCTATCAGGGTCACAGAGTGGCCTTGTCTGGTGTTGGTGTGCTATGAAATTGATTATGTTCAGCATGAGAATGCCAAGGCCTAGCTGTGAATGCGGGCCAACTCCTAGGAACACCAAGGCCTGATGGGGCCAGGTCAGTGCCAAGTTATCAGCAGCTGCTTTTCTCTCTCTCAAATGGAAGTAAATTTGTTTGGCTTTTCAAATGTGGTGGATAATGCAGACTAGATCTTTGCTTTTCTAGTAAAGGAAGAGTGAAGACCACTAAACATAGAATGTATAGGTCTATAGACCTTTATTTACAATTCCATAATTCAAGTATCTCTTTATTCATTTGGTGGCAAAACTTAACCAGAAATGCTGTCATGCTGTTTACTCATTATTTCTCCCATTGAAATGTTTTGCTGTAGGAATCAACTATGTTTGATTCCACGTACTTCTGATGGGAGTGATATACCTGGTCTGGACCTAAGGGGGGTGGAGCTTGTACTTGACTTTAAAGACAATGTCAAATATTTGCCCTCTGAGTATTGAATTACTTTTTAAATAAGGATGTTTGTACTGTAGTCATTGAGCTTAGAGATTGTGTAATTAATATGACATGTTATCTTAAATTGGGAAGCATTGATAATAACAATAAAAATTTGTCACTGAGCACTTAACTATATGCCAGGAATTATGCTAAGCATTTACATGCAATATCTCCTTTAATTCTCAAACCAACTCTTATGAGGTAGAACACATCACTCTCCCTCTTTTCAAGACAAGAAACTGAGGCTTTTATAATTGCCCAAAATCCAGCGGCTTGTAAATGACCAAGGAGTCAAACCCAGAGAATCTTTCTCCAGAGACTTTGATTTCCTTCTTACCATAATCTTGGAATACAGAAGGCTCATCTCCTTTATGTGCTTTCTCCAACTGGCTCAGGGTCATTTTGGTGGGAAGCACACGGGCCATTTCATTTGTTGTATCCTTCCTCATACAGACCTTCCAGAAAGGCCCACATCAAAGATTTCAGCAAAAGAAAACCATTGTGATAGGGATCAGGCGTGCAGTGTGGAAAATCGGAGGCAGGGTTGAGTTGTTGCTGAATGACCTGGTCCCAGATGTAAATGACTTTAGAGCTCAGGATGAAGAATATCACTGGGCTCCCATGGTTTATTTATTTCTCAGATTATTCATTGATCTTGTCCTAGAGTCAACCTGCCTCTTCTTTCCCACAGGAAATTCCAGTTGTTAGTGCAAATGAACTTACAGAGGTGGCCATCGTGGAATTAATCATGGTAGCCAGGAACATTTACTGGGAAGAAAAAATATAACAAAAATAAACTGTCCTTTGCTTTTTTCTTTTTTTCCTTGTTTCTTTCCCACACCCCTCCCCCTTTCTCTTTTTCTTTCTCTCTCTCTAGCTTCCTCTCTGTCTTCTCGTACTTTTTAATCTGTATATTCCTAGCTAATATATGTTCATCATCTTCTTTCCTGTCTAATTTCTTTCAGATAGTCATCTTTTCCTCTTCTTTTATTTTTTTCTACATGTTTTCCCATTTGCTCTTATGGGAGAACTCACTGTTCTGTTTTCTGCTTATGCAGCACACAGTAATTCTGAAGTGTCCTATGCGTATAAAGCTGCAGACAGACAGATGTTTTTGTACTTGTTTATTGGTAGTAAACTATTTGACAATGAAATAAGAAGTGTTTACTGTTCTTTATTCTTTATACCCACAAATGCCTCTATTGTACTCATATCAGAATTGCCTTATTAATAGGTCATGCATTTCAAAGGCAGTGGATTATGATTTTATTTTTCTGTGACCTTTGTCTAGCAAACAGTTTATTAAAGTCCATTTGCCTACTACATTGAAGGTGACAGAACAGGATACAGATATTCCCCGGTTCTTCATGGGCTAGACTTCAGGCATTCAGTCTACGGAACAGCGGACGTAGTGCAAAATCCAGAGGGAGGAAGCGAAGGAATGAAAACTACCTGAAGGTGATGGAGCAACAGCTTCTGAATGCAAAGCAAGAGTCTTTGGACTATAAATAGATACCCATAGTCTGACAATGGCTGTATTTCCAATGGCTCCTCAGAAAGCTAAGAGGAAAATAAGGGTGGACTAGGGAAGAGAGAAAGGGGGAAATAAACAACCCAGAAAGAAGGAAGCAATGACGGAAGAGGTGCAGGATGCAGCGAGAGCATCCCAGATGGCACAGTAAGGACAGTGATGGCAGCCAAGACCAGGTGACAGCATTGGTGGCCAACAGCGTCAGGTCTTTGAGGAAAGGAGGAAGCAGCAATGACTCAGGAGGAGGAGATAGCACACCTCTGCCCTTTGGACATGGAAGGAGCCATTTGGATTTCATTTGCTTCAAATACTACTACTGTCTGATGCCAGAAGACACAGTCAGTAGATTCTGATGCCGGATGATTCTGGAGTTCACCCTAAGTAGATAGAATCAATGGTCATAGTTGACATCATTTTTTTTTTTTT